TATACATATACATATACATATACATATATACATACTCGGAAAATAGTCCCATTAAGTTCAGTGAGATGCCTTTCCGGGCAAATGTGTGGATTCAGCAGCATTCAAAGGTTGTGTGTGTCAATCTAACAGAGCAGCACTGGATGAAATTAAGTTCCAAATATCTGAAAAAGATGGATATTGTGGGGGGGAGGGTGTAATGCTGCTATTGTCATTTTGATGCTGGCCATCATTGCTGTGGATCCCTGTGTGTGGATTACAGTTTATCCTTTGCAAACAATGTCCTAGATGCATCACAACTAATTTGTGACAAATTACAAACCCATTTTTTTAGGGTTTTTTCCCCCCACAGCAATCAACAGATGAGTGGTAATTTTCTGTTTTCTGACCAGAACACTTTATTTTCATTTTGCAGTGATTTGGAGTCAATGGCCAAAATATCGTTTGGAATGTGCAAAGTTCTTAAAGCAGCTGTGCCTTTCCTGGGTTCCTATGGCAGCTCTCTGCCACTGCTGTGTAATGCTAGAAAAAGAGATAGCTATTTTGCTTTGTTTCTGTCCTACTTTTATTATTTTTTACAAACAACTCAAGGCATATTTAACACATCCAACACACTTTCTTCCTTCTATTTCCCTCACAACAACAACAACCGCATGGGATGAGTTGGGCTGAAAGAGAATGACTAGCCCAAAGTCAAACAGCTGGATTTCATGGTAAGAACTCACATTTCCCCACTTTCTAGCCTGGTGCCTAACCACTAGACCAACTTTAAGGAGCTGCAGGCAGGTGCTAATGACTGAGTGCTTCAAAGCCCCTTTTGCCTTCAAATCCAAACGCAGCCCAGTCTACTATTTATGACTTGGTCATTTCCCAACAAAGTTAGTGAAGTCATTTGAATCTCATTCCAGTGAAGTGAATCAAGGTTATAATGTCCAGCCAACACTGGCAATCTCTGCTCCAAAAATATGACCACAAGTCAAAAACCCAGTCCTATGTGAGCATGCGAGGACTGCTAATTATGCTTTTAAAAACGAATAGTGCAAATTTATTCTTGAAGCAAAGGGGCAAAGGAGACATATACCAGCCAAAGGAAGCTATGAAATGGAGAGGCTGATAAGGGCAAAATCACCCACGCATGTTTTGTCACCTGTATTTGGCCAGGTCCGATGTAAAATTTCTTCAAGATTCTTATCAGGAAATTTTGAACTTCTGCCCAGGGGTAGATGCTGTTAGATCCATCCAGTACTATAATTATATCCATGTATGTCTGGCATTCTGCAACCAGATAGACGAAGATCATTAAGGGATATTGGCTACCAAAAAGGAGTGGAATAGGCTGCCAATTCCTTTCCCCTTGGAGCAAAGGAATCTTGGAGCAAACACCAACCTTTCCTTCCTCTACTCTGAAATCGCATCGCTCCAATTTTCCCTTGGGTCTATTGTGTTTCTATACATTATTAATACAACAATACCAGGCATTTAACACCACAGTTCTATGTCTGACCACTGAAAGCCCCCTTGAATTGGATAGCACTTCTTTCAGGGAAAGTGTCTCCAATAGGGCTAAGCAACTTTTCCAGATCCAAGGGTCACACTATGATCGTTTGGTAAATTTACAATATTTCACAATGATTGCATACAATTAAATGATTGTTCCTCATGTTTAAAATGACATTGGGGAGACAGTTTTTGGAAGGGTGTTGGAGGTTGTATACAAAGCTTTTTACCAGCTAGATATAGCTCCAAGACTTAAGAATGCACGCCATTGATGTGGCTTTCATGGCTAAGGTGGTATTAGAACTCATGGTCTCAGAATGAGCTAAGACTTGCAACAAAAGCCAAAAATAATAGAACATAGAACAAAGGGTTAGAAGGGAGCTTGGACATCTTCTAGTCCAATCCTCTGCTCAAGCAGAAGACCCTATACCATTCCAGACAAATGGTTGTCCAACCTCTTCTTAAAAACCTCAAATGAGAAGCACCCAGAGCTTCTGAAGGCAAGCAATTCCATTGATTAATTGGGAATTTCTCCTTAATTTTAGGTTGGGTCTCCCATTACTTCTTGTCTTGCTTTCAGGTCCTTTGGAGAATAGGTTGACCCACCAGCCAATCAAATATTGGAAAACTATGATATGCTATCATGTTAATCCTAGTCATTCTCTTCATTAGACTAGATATACAGTACCTAGTTCCTGCAACCATTCATCACATGGTTTAGCCCCCTTAATAAAAAAGTTTCTTTCAATATGTAGAAAGCAACAAAGAAATCAAGAAAATGATCGTTCCACTAAATGGAAGATGGCAAGGAGGTGATGGATAGCAGGGGAAAGCAGAATTACTAAATTAATTCCTGGCATCTATCTTTACACAAAAAGGAAAAAAACAGACCAACCTATCAAAAGGTATGTCATGTCTAGAGAAGAGAAGAACTAGGGTGACATGGTAGCAGTCTTCCAGCAAATGAAAGGCTGTTACAGAGAAGACGGGGTTAACCTATTCTCCAAAACACTGAGAGCAAGACATGAAATAATGGATGAGTATTATTAAAGTGAGAATTAAGGATTCTGAGAATTAAGAATTAGAATAATTAATCAGTAGAATGGTTTGCCTCCAGAAGTTGTGGGTTCACTGGAGGTTTTCAAGAAGAGACTGGGTGACCATTTGTCCAGAATGGTAAAGGGTGTCCTGCTCCAGCAGGGGTTACATTAAAAGACCTACAAGGTCCCTTCCATTCTCTTACTCTATGATTCTATGATACTCCACACACAGCCAAGCAATAGTATCCTCTTTGAATAACTGATAAGACATTAACAATAGGAATAGCGCTTAGACTTATATACTGCTCTAAGCCATTTAAAAATGTCAGCATATTGCCTCCAATGATCTGGCTCCTCATTTTACAGACCATGGAAGGATGGCAGGTTGAGTCAGCCTTGAGCAGGTCAGGATTGAATTCCTGGCAGTGGGCAGAGTTAGCTTGCAATACTGCATTCTAACCACTGCACCACCATGGCTCTTGTACTGAAAACTAAAGTCAAACATGGCAATGAATGAAATGCATAATAGCTGCCGGGGGGGGGGGGATTCTGTAGCATCCCTCTTCCCTCTCTTGCTCCGAGAGGACACATGTGATTATTTGCTAAATTAATGTAGGGCAGCCCAAACAGTGAAAGAGGGACAGAAAACTTGAGATGTTTGAGGGCACTGCAGCTTCTGATCAAGAATAAACCCTTTGAAAATCGCCAACAAATGTGTGGGCTTAGAAATAAATAGATGGGATATTTATCTGAATTTTCCAAGGGATTCTGCAACTATTTTCTAGGAACTCTCCCTTGGAAATTAGTGTAGAATTTTGACCAAAAAAAAAGGCCCTGGAGGAACTTCTCTCAAATGCTTTTTCCTGGGATTGAATGGAAGAGTGCAGAGCAGAGGTGGAATTCAGACAGTTCTGACAGGTTCTGGAGTGGAAACCGGCAGTGGAAATTTTGAGTAGTTCGCAGAACCAGCAAATAGGCTGGCCATGCCCCTGCTGCCTCCCAGCTGATCTTCTGTTGTTGCCCTGAACAGGAGAACGGAGCTGGAAAGCAGGTTAGTGGGGTGGGGAGGGAATGGGGATTTTGCAGTATCCTTCCCCTGCCACACCCTCCAAGCCACGCCCACAGAACTGGTAGTAAAAAATTTGAATCCCATCACTGCGGAGCCAGGGAGTCTGCAGACCTCTGCAGAGAAGATGTGACACAAAAGGCAAAATATTCTCATAAATCCCATTAGTAATTAAGTGCAAGGACATCTTACACATTTTTCTTTCCTCAGATTGAATGAAGATTGGTGGAATTTTCTGCTGGGCATTGCCAAGAACTGTTTCCTGGCCATTTATTTTCTTCATTTTCCTTCTTCACAGGAAAGCATGGATCAAAAACAGATGTCTCCTTGCTGTCTGGAAGCAGAGTGTTTCCCCACCCACCCACCCCTGCCCATCAGGAAGCCTTTTACCTACAGTCAGCACAAAATTCCCAGTGGACAGGCTTCTTTTCAAGAACAGTTATTTTTTTCCC